CCAACTTAGCTTTAACAACTCCTAATAGCACCCTACTTAATCATAATATCTACAGAATTGAAAATATTTGAAATATTTAACTTTAATACTATATTTCAAATTTTTTAATTAGACTTAGTGATATAGAGCTCTTAGGCATTACTACTCAGATTAGATTACAACAACTCTATAACAACTTGTAGTCTACAACTAATATCTTATAACATCTACAACCACAAATTGATAGCTCTAACAAAAATTCAACAAACTTTAAAATTATTTTACTTTTTAATTATCTGAATATTTCTATTTTAACAAATATTAATAATAGACAACTTACTACTATTTCAGACCCTTATACACCCTTAAAAAATATTCTTCAACACAATAATTTTAATAACTCCTTTAAACACCAACTACATACTAAACAAATCTTATTTCTTAAACAATTAACTTCTGCTGATAATTATATTCTTCTAAACTAGATTTATATTTCTTTAAGACTAAATTACTTACCTAAAGGCTACAAACCTAAATGGTTTACAACTTTAGAAACAGTAATTTTAGAAAATCCTTCCACAAGAATTATTTTAAACCAATTTTAGCCACCAGCAAATAACTCTCTTGCTTATGCTACTAGATACTTTAGTACAAGAGCCAAACCTTAGCTCATAACTTACCTGTTGCCTTCATCAACAGTAGTTATAGATAAAGCATAACACTCATATCCAAAAAGGAACACAATATCAATTACTCACTGGACACTACAACCCAATTCTGAATCTATTAATCTTTATTCTTACTCAAACCCAATATACTTACTTTGTCAAGGCTGTAGCCTGAACTTAAAAAAAGTTACTAACTTATGTACCTTTGAAATTTTAGCTACTCTCTCTACTAAATTTCTTAGCCAGAAAATATATACAGACTCTTCTAACAAACTTAAACTTAATTCAAATTACTTAGATCTTTTATATTCTATTGTACTTCATAATCCTTTAATTATTCCTTCACTTCCAATTTTACAAATAACTTTATCTGCAATTACTACAATTTTTAACTCTAATGAAGCTACTCAACAACTTGAAACAATTTATCAAACAAACTGTAACCAAAAACAATTTGCTTTCTATACTGATAGATCAGTTATTGATATTTGTACTAACTAATACTCCATAGGTATAGGATGAGTTCAAGTTTGCGATAATCAAATTTCTCATAATTTTTCTGCACAAATTCAACTTTGGCCATCTTCTTATAAAGCTAAGTTAATTTCAATTCTATCAGCTATTAGTACTTGTCCTTGAAATAGCTAAATTCAAATTTATACAGACTCTTTATCTGTTATTCTTAAATATAACAAACTTATAAAAAAACTACTCATCTCAGCTAAAATCCCTTCATTACAATATTGGCCTATTTGGGTTACTCTACTTAATTATATCAAATCTTTTAATCTTAGCATTGAATTTCATAAAGTACAAGTATATAGTGATAACTTATTTAATGATAATGCTGATTATTTAGCTAAACACCACTTATCATTACCTTTTCTACAATTTAATTATACTAATCTTTATAATCCTCACTATATATTACAGTTTGAAAACTTTCTTGTCAAACAACCTGCACAAAAATTAATTAAAAATATTTGCAACTCACATATTATAGCCTTGTGGTCTTCCCAAAAGCGTATGCAAAACATCTCACATATCTTTCAACATATTGACTAGAATACTACATGGCTCTTTATTAATAATAACCAAAAATGATCATCTAACTTTACTACTCTTCAACTCGGCCATCAAAAATCTTTTCGAATTAAAAACTTGTTAAATAAACTTCTAACATTATTACACCTTCATCAACTCTATTCAAATATCTTTACACATAATAACTGCATTTCCTGCAACAACCAGGAAAACTCACAATATTAGCTTTTTTGTTCTAATAACCAATCTGTATATACTCTAATACTTTAAACAATTCAAAACTTCTTTACAGAATCATCACTTAACCTTTCTACTCAAACAATTTAAGAACTACATAACCAATTAACTACTTATTCATCTTTTCAACACCAACAACCTTTTCAAAATATTCTAACAATTGAAACTACTCTTCAAGGATTTATACCATTCTCACTTATCGAACTACTCTCTACATATACTGATATATACAAAATAGCTTCTAAACTTATTACTCAATTTCTCCTCCAACTCTCAAATAATATCTACAAGCAAATTTGGAAGCCCTACTGCTCTAAATTAGCTGAATAGAAAACTTTAAATAATATTCTAAACCGACTTCAAAAATCTACCTGCTCACGTTCACTACATTCAAGTAACTTCAAAATAGGCTATATATATATATGTCTATATAGCTAATCTGACCAACTACATAACAATAATAATCAATATCCTCCTCTTAGACTAGCATAACACAAAATTGATATTTGGTCTACTCTGTGGGTTAAATATAGTTATTCATCTAATGCTATCATAAATATTCAAATCTAGATAAGTTTTTAACTGCTTTAGTAGGTTTAGGTTGCAGATAAATTAGATAGTTTACTATTTATAGTCTGAGTCTTATTTCTTGTAAACAAATTTGTAAATTTTAAGAAACTCCTTGTGAAATCTTACACAAATTTTAATAAAGATAAAGGCAAAACCTCACCTTAATTAAAAAAAAAAAAAAAAATTTTCTTTTATTATCTTTTTTTATTATTTTTTAATACTTTTTTATTTTTTTTATTATTAAAGCCACTTCCTTGGCCGATTAGATTTTATTAGTTTGTTATTACAGAACTATTACATGAACAGTTTCCTAAGGTTTTATAGTTATATGATAAGTGTATAACAAGCTACACGTACAACTTTAGTTATTGTCTAATTTAAGTAGTCTGCCATACAGATGATTAACCATCTGTTAGTTCTACACTATACTGCTATATCTGCAACTCGCCTATGAGTTACCTATTTAAATACTCTGATCATTAACTCTTCCTCCTATTCCAAACTAATGTTACTACTATGACCAACCACTTAAGCCAGCAGTTCACCCATAGATCTATTCTCTGCACAGCTTAGGTCTTCTCGGGATGCTATATACCTAACGTATTGTAAGCCGCAGAGCTCCAGTTAATTTCGGAAGTAATTCTTACCAGTGTAATTATATACCCATTTCACAGATTCACCTGAATTAGACCCTTGTCGATATTTGTACAAACTCAGTTTCTGCTGTGGCCATCCACCAGATAAAGTCTACCAAGTTCTAGCTAGATGTTTCATGAAGTAGATCCTTCTAATCTAGTTAGCCATCAAGCCAAGTTGGTGTTGCTGCTAATGCAAGGTACCAGGTTGCATTACACAGCGGACTTACTCGTATCTATCGATCTCACATTCTTCATACTCAGGTTTTTCACTAGATCAGGCATTAACTAGCTTGACTATCAAAATCTGTACTACTTCACCAAACTTGGGATTTCTACTATACAGGTCCCCTGTCTGTAGATCCTATCAAGATTTATTCATGTAACATAACTCGAGCATTGCATCACACTTCTAATATACGATTGACATTGGTACAATATGATTTACAGGGTTGTAACCTCCAGAAATGAGTAGAGTTTACCATAAGTTGAGTACAAAGGTTCAGATAATTATTCAAATTCATCGACAATGAGATTTGAACTCCAGACCTCTTGCATGACAGTCTGGCAATCTAACTATTACACTAAGATCACCAGACCTTAATGCTTTTTTATTGCTTTTTAATTTTTTTTTTATTACTTTTTAATATTTTTTTTTATTACTTTTAGTGTTTTTTTTTATTACTTTTTATTTTATTATTCTTAAATATTTTTTTTATTATTTTTTGATACTTTCTTTTATTATTTTTTATTATTTTTTATTATTTTTTATTACTTTTTTTTATTTTTTATTGTTTTCTTTTAAAAAACTAACAAAAATCAAATGATTTTTTAAAATCAAAGAAATAAAAAATTAAAATTATAAATAAAAAACTTAATCAAATATATATTAAAAAAAAAAGTAAACTTTAATAAAAAAAAATCAAATAATTTATAATATTACTCATTGCTTTTTAATATTTTTTTTAAGATGATTTCTATTTGTATACTATGTATATATACATATAGTATACAAATAGAAATCGTCTTAAAAAATATTCTTACATGATCTCACCTTAGCTTTGCTTAAAAAAAATATATATATATATATTCTTTTTTTTAATACTTTTTTTAATATTTTTTTATCACTTTTTTTTATTACCTTTTAATACTTTCTTTTATCACTTTTTGATATTTTTTTTGCTACTTTCTTTTATCATTTTTTACTACTTTTGTTTATTATTTTTTGATACTTTCTTTTGTCACTTTTATTACTTTTTTTTACTGTTTTTCATTTTATTTTTTTACTACTGTTTTTTATTGTTATTGCTTTTCTTTTTTTGATGCTTTCTTTTAATCATTTTTCTTTTTTTTTTTTTCTCTTTTGTACTTTGTTTCATTCTTTATTTCGTTACTTTTTAGTGATATTTGTATCAATAAAGATAATTGTATGATTTTGTAATAACTTTAATCTTAATAAAAAAATCAATTTTTGATAAAAATTTATTAAAAAAAGTTTATTTTTATAATGTTATTAATAAATAAATTGTTTACAATACTCAACTTCTTAAAAAATTTAGTCTCGAAATAAAATAAAATAAAATTTCGTTATGGTTTTTGTTAATTTTGAAATTTGATTGGTCACACGTGATAGCAAATTTTTTACGCTAGAGCGGATTTATCGACGAAATCATAAATCCATAAAATCTTGTTTCACTTAAATAATTTTCAATGGTATTTTTTTCTTCTCTATAGCTAATAATTTATTATTATTATTTTTTATTAAACGGATGCACACTTAACTTGTTAACAAATAATGTATTCAATTCATAATAAAATACTATAGAAAGAATATTGTAATAAGTCTGCATCAAAATCTTAAATATAATCACATAGCTTCATTCATAATTTCGAATGCCTTTCTATAAACATCAAGCATGGTTTTACAATTTTGTCTTCGGCTTGCTAAATTTTCGTCTTCTTGCAATAAATCTACAAATAGTTCCTCTTTATATAATTCTGAAACCAACCGATTTTGGACCGACTCTCGAGAATAATTGACCAAAAGATGCATAATGGCCTTTGGTACAAGGTCTTGAATTGTTTTGCGTACAAGATTGAAATACGAAGTGATTAAAGAACCTTTAAATATTATAAATATAAAGATATTGTATTAAACTACTCATTTCTCTTAGAATATAAATTATATATAGTACAATAAAAGCATAATGTATACATACGTATCAGCTGTATCTCCATTTCTTCACGATCGGTCAGATGAATGGCGTCATCGACAATCGCACCCTTCAAAATAAAAAGGGTGTCATATTTTGCACCTTGAAAAAGAATTCATTAGAAAAAGAACGTTCATAAAATATCATACATTATCTAATTTTCTCTCCAATTCACCCATGTCTATTCCAGTCTTAGCGGATGTACCATTTCGATTAGGCAAAGGTTGATCTGGCAATATCGTTCTATCACTTTTATTACCAGCCCCAAAGAAATATGTCAAAAAGGATTCGCGTTGTGCCCATGCATTATTGCTGATGCCATTTTGAAGTCCCAGATCTTTAGAACCACTAGATTCTTTATCCGAAAGTGGTGAACCATCCTGACTTTCATCTTTGCTAGAAATTGATGGTCCACTTAATGGCGAAATATGTGTCATATTACCTCCCATGTTTGCCTATTTAATAAATTGTTAACAAAATAAAATGTACGGAGAAAATGATAAATGTATTCTTCCAGTTACCCGTCGATTAAGCTTCTCGAATTCTCGCCTCTTCTTTTCACTTTTTCTTACAAGATCAGACATGGCTCCTGCGCCACCAATAAAATCTGGATGATTTGTATTGACATATGCACGTTGAATACTGATTAAGCTTTCCACGTACGATGAAGTAGGGTTGAGTCTTTCACGAAGCAAATCAGAAACAACTTCTACAAGTTTGGCATGTAAGCGTGGGTAACGACCAAGTTCCTAGTGTATAGAATAGCAATTATTACTATTTTTCGAGAAAAATTAACAAAATTTTCTTTTTCAATGTTATCAAATACCTGATTTCCACTACTATGGCATATCTTTGTCAATTCTTCATGCACAAGTTCAACACACCTTAAACTTGGCTGCTCAAGCAAAAGAATCTGAGGCTTAACCAAAAGATCAAAAGCAATTTCTGGTACGAATAAAGATGGTCTTGGTCCAGTAGAATTTCGAATAGCGGTTCGAATATCTTGTACTGAAAGATTTCCACATGGGCTAATAGATTCTAACGCTGCACCGAATATGTTGTTGAAAATATAATATATCCTTGCACCACCACATCTACAAATTCCAAAAAGGACAATATGTTACTGACAACCAGTAAATGATTGATGTAAAATAAGGACATTTTTATAAAAATTTTATCTCATACAATTCTTTTGTCGATATATCTAATGCGGTACCATCAATCGATGAAACAAAATCATTTGAGAATTTAGTAATGAGTTTTAATACTAATGCCCCCTGAATGCGAATAAATAAGAGTAGAAAGTATTTATCAGTTATGAATTAAAAAAGATTATAGAATAAATTATTGATGAAAATAAACAATTAAATAACCTACTTTATTAGTCTTTTCGTCAAGAACAGGATCTCCATAAGACAAGAGTTCTTGCGTAGTTTGACTGATAAGAGAATTAATCCTGGCTTTCATATCCGGTAACCTTTCCCGTATGTGATTCATAAGAATCTTAATTCAAAATAAGTTACATGACACGTGCGACCCAACAAAATTGTGTTGGCTTTATTTATTCAGAGCAAAAAATATCTATCGTTTAATGAATATCTTATTTTGAAATATCATTCAAATACCTACATGGTTCAGAATCTTCGTCAAAAAAGGTGTCCCACATCTCGAAGCAATGCTTCGATATGCCGAGTGTCGTTTAAAGAATTCACTTTCAGCCTTCAAGGCTTCAGTCATAGGTTTATTACCTATTATGTCTTGTTGACTACGATTTACAACCCCGATAAAGCCCAGCTTAAGAGGTATAACACGACCAGTAAGAACCTCTAACGCATTTGTACCAGCATCCATAAGATCTAATTTAGTTAAGACTCCGATGGTTCTTTTGCCTATAACATGAACCAAATCATTATTATCTTATAATAAATATTTTCTATTATTTTTTCTGTTTTAAATATGCCTGACCTTCTGAGTCAACTTGTTTTGCAAGCTTCAAACTTTCCGAATTTACCAAGTCAACATTTGCAGGGCTTACAGCTAAAATAATACTACATTTATTTTGAATATTTTGCTTTAAATTTAAAAAATTATTGACTCGACAATATTAATTAACGATGCTTAAAGCTACCTATTCGGCTTTGTTATATAGTCAAGAACTAAACTTCGGGTCTGTTTCTCAATATCTGTAGGCTGATCCCCTAAAAAAGAGAATTTAATTTAATACATTAAATTCAAAACACTAAAATAGGTAAATAATAGCTATGCTTACCGATTGGAATCTAAGGGCGTTTTATGCAAAAAACCACAATTTTAGAACTACGAATTAAGCAAAATGGGTTTTTTACTAACAAAATGGCCCTTCGGGATTATTAAAAATAGTCCCGAAGGATCATTTTGTTAGCAAAAATCCCAAATATCTATCAAGAATATCACCTTTGTTAGGCCAGGAAGATCAACTAGTGTTAAATTAAGCACATTCGGAGAGAATATCTTCAAATGAATTGGAGACCTCGATATTCCTTTGTTTTGTCCTGCAACCCTTGCCGTTTCGGCTTCAATTTCTTTTCTTATTTCTGAAAAGTCGGTAAACTTTTGATCCGACGTGTGCAAAAATTCACCATATTCTACAGGTTTAGAATCTTCAGAAGCTTGAATATTAACGAGCTGAAGAACTAACGGCCTCCGAGTGACGATTCCGTTACCACGAGGTAAAAAATCACGTTGAACAATGTTTTCAAGAACAGAAGATTTTCCAGAAGATTGAGATCCAACAACAATAATTTGCGGTAGATCTACTGTGTCGCTGCCAATAGTGCTAAAAACATCTTGGAGTTTGTTGACTATAGGAATTAAATCATTCATCATACTATACTTGATCAAATCGCAGCAACGGTAGTAATAAGATATTAAATGCTAACTAATGAACGCTAATATATGAGGTGAACTTTCCAATAATGTCCCGACTACACACCCCTTAAAAAGAAAAAGAAAAAAAGAGAAAAACTATAGAGATAAAATTGGTACAGTACAGCAGTATCATTATTGCTTTTGATCACAATCACAATCATGTCTGACGTATCAATCCATCAAACTTTGGTTAGCGTTAGTTTGATGTGGTAATAGTCAAAAATTCAGTGATCATGTGAATATAGATCAAATCACTGTCATGATTTCTTTGTTATATAGCGATAGACGATAATAAAGAACTATAATTTTATTGCCTAAAATATCTCGACAAACAATTCGGCCATTTTCAAGTTAGAGAGTATTTTAGAATTCTACGAAGTAAATATACCAAGAATCGTGGACCCTTGCTGGGATATATAGTATTAGCGGCATCTATTTAGTTCGATAATGATCCCAATTTTACTATTAATAGAGTCGACCAGGGCGGCACCCCCAAAGTGCAGATCGATGGCGCAGCACAGATCTACTGATCATATTCGTGTTGTAACGACGATTATTTTTAAATAAATTTATTTCGTGAAATTCTAAGTATTAAATTATATTTCTACTTTAATTTTTAAGCCTGGAACGAATTGGACGCGGATTGAATAAGTAAAAACTGGTGATAAATTTTTACAATTTTACTTTGGAACTCAAAAAATTGCTCTCAACGCAATAAATAAGTAAACTTCTAGTTCTTTTTTGCATTATGTGATTCTATTCCTTTACTAATTGCTAATTATGCTATATTATTCTCCATTGTTACTATTATTTGTGTTATTCTCTAGTCTTTTTGGATATGACAAGTACATAAGATAAAGCCTTCTTGTATTTTCTGAAGCCCAAGTTAGTTGTCAGTGTTTTCATTATTCTGCAGCTTGAATATCTTCTTCTATCATTATTATATGGTTCTATTTTATTATAGCACTAACTTGTAACCAATTATTGAAAGCTTTCTCTGAGCAGATTTGTTCAATTCTTGTGTAAATAATTCTTAATTTGACTTGACATAAGAATAAACCTTTTTATATGAATTTTTGTCTATATTAATATTGTAATTATCAGAGAAGTTATCGATATTATGATTTTTAACAACTTGAGAAATAACTTGTACTTCTGGTAATGCAATATTATTATTTTCAAGGCTCTTTAAAACAAAAAATAGTAGCACTATACAATGTTTAAATTTATTTTTAATTAAATATTATTTCTTTTTGTTAGAAGTATTTATTATTTGTTTTACCAAATATTTGCATAACAAAAAATGATTTTTAACAAATGCAGAGTAGCTACAGACTCGATAGATAATCTTAGTAAAATATAGACTACTTGTGTTTATTGTTTCTATATCAATGTTTTACTTTTTTTTACCTAAAGATAGAGCATTAGATTAGTGAGCTTTTTAGGTATACAGTTGTGTTTTTTTTGATAACACTATTCTTTCTTGTTTTTTTTCAAGTTTTTAATGTATTTTTGATAACTTATATAACTTATATATAACATATAAAAAACTTATATGAATAGTGTATTTTTATATATACTACACGCTTGGTGTACTTTTTTGATATCTATTTCAATAGCTATTTAGCTTTTTATTACTAAGGAGTACATCTTCTTAAGGGTGTATGACGTAGTTGTGGAGTGAAGCAGAGCATAGTTATCATATTTGATTTCTATTTAGTTTTTTGTACTGGAGGAGCATAACGACTCTGAATATGAAGTGTAGTATAGCATTAGTTATCTATTAAATTTACAATTAGTTTTTTAATACTAAGGAGTATACACCTTAGATATGAGCGATGCAGTTGCGAAGCAAAGCAGAGTATAGTAATCTTTTATTTAAACAAAAAATCTGGTATATTAATAAAAAATACTAAAAAAATATATTACTATGCCTAAGATACTTAAATGTTCAGGTTGTGATCAAGTAATAAAAACTGGTAAAACTCAAGATCTTAATAAACACATGAATTTAAATAGAAACTTTTGTAAAAGACAATGCCAACTAGCTTTGCTTATAATGCAAAATGTAGGAAACGTTACTTCAAAGCAAAATATATCTCAAACTGAAAATATTACTCCAGAGCAAAATCTGCTAGCAACTCCTGAAGGTGATCTTATATCATTTGATAAAAAACTACCAACACTTTAGCTGAGAGAGGCAAGTACGCTAGCAGTCGACTCCCGGATAAGAGAATCAGAAATGAGTCAAAGACTTGAAGCTCAACATCCTTGATACTCTGCATCATCTAGTTTAAAGCAAAATAGCATGAGTTACCAAGATAAAACTATCTTAATTCATAAAAATATAGCAAATGGATTTGAGTTTTATGAT